CTTGCAAGACCTTCAACAATTCCTTTCTGTAGTCTCTTTCGCCACCAGACTACAAACATTCATGGAAAACGACATTCTGATGTTCGCAACAGCTTGCTCATCCATCTTCCAATCCTTGTCCGTCATCCCCACTGGTCTCTCCCCCAAAGTCTTGTGTTTCTTCTTGCATGTAAGAAGATCATTTACCTGCATTTTTCAAAAACTGAAATTCTCCCCGGTGAACTTCAGAACCCCTTCATAATAATGGTGTGCGTGATATTTTTCTCCCATGATTTTGCAACCCTACATCTCTGATACCACTTGTTGGGAAATTAACGGTTTTGTATAATTTCTCCTTCCACATAAAATATTCACACACAACCACAATATGCAAATAAGGAAGAAACTTGTAAAGAACATGAAAACAACACAACAAAATTATACTAGTTCACCACTAAGAGCTACGTCCAACATTCCGCTCAGATGTGGGTAATTCACTAATAATCGTTAAGGATTGGATACAAAACTCTCCCAAAAAATATATCCTAGAGGTCCCAACAAAAGTCCCCTAGCTTCTAAGTATTTTACACAATTAATACTTAGGTATAGGAATGAAAAACACAATAGATAAAGATACAATTACCCTAATAAAGACGATCTTTATCTCTCCCAATGCCTTTGCCAATACTCGAGCCGCTGCCACAAAAACTGCTGCCAAAAAACCCCAATTCGGCTGCCCCTAAAATTCTGACTGCTACTCTCCACAAAAAATAAAACCTATATATACACACACACCTAAATATCTTATAGTTTGGGAGGCTATATGTTTGTTCAATCTTCCAACTTACCAATTTTGTAGATAACTTTGTATTGGACTCATAATCAAAGTTCATATATATTAAACGTTAAATTTTTGTAAAAATATATGAGCATAATAGAGCGGTTCAGACATTTAATATCTTCCTTTGAGGTTAAAAGTTCAAATCTTCATCCCACAATTGTTATACAAAATAAAAATTTATAATTTGAAGGCTAAATGTCATAAATCCATGTTAAAGATCTCCGATTATTAGGGAAGCTTATTATGAAACTCATGAAAATGAATTTGAATTTGTCATCTTTATCAATTCATATGCATACGTCTTTAGAAATGAATGTATGGTATATATATAAGCACATACTAGATATATAATATGTCAACAAAAATATATACAACAAAATATATTTTTTATTTTATTCTTAATTTAATCAAATTAAAATGTAAAAATATAAAAAAATTTAATTTTGAATTCAATTATATTTAAATAATTATAAAAATATTTTATTTTTACTATATTAAAATTACGAAACTAAATAATTAAAAGAAACAATTTAAACAAATCTAAAATACATTATTTGATGGGTTATTACATGGTCTATTTAGAGACTATAATTACATAAAAAGGACTGAATATATAAAATTTAGTCATGAAATAAAGTGAGGATACCCATCACCAATAAACTATTATATCCACTTGTATTTACATCTCAATATTAATTATTTTTTGAAATTCAAAATTGGTTATTTGGAAAGTTACATTTTTCTAAAAATAAAAGTTATGAAATCTCCAAAATATTACCCAAATCTCCAAAATCCTCCGTTATTTCAAATTTTCGAAAAAAAACCTACTCATTTTGTCGTTTCTTCTTCTTGTCTCGTTTGCTCTCCTTCCACAAATACCATTGTTTCCGTTCATTCGAGCTTCTTCTTCATCGTCGGAGCAGCCTGTTATAGCTTCTTCTTCGTCGCCAGCCATCCATTGACAGTTCGAACATTCCGTTTATCCCGAGGTTTGTTTAGTCTCCAACCGGAAGACCATAACAGACTGTTCGAGCTTCTTCTTTGTCGCCGGTCGCCCGTCAACCGTCCGAGCTCTCCATTTATCCTGAACATTATTTAGCCGTCGACTGGAAGCAGTAAAAAAATGGAGTAACGTTTCTCTCGCCAACATCCTCATTCTTTCCTTCTGGTTCAAGTCCAAAATTGGTACTGAGATTCTGTAGATTGGCTTTCTTCTTAGAATTCTTTGCCTTTGTATTGGGTTAAATAAAAATTAGCCTAGTCATAAAATTTGTTTACTGAAAATAGTTTTTTTTTTAAGATATTGACTTGGGTATATTGGGTTAAATATATAACTCCTTAGAATTCTTCTTGGTAAGTATTAATTAGTTTGAATTAGAGTATTAACTAAAGGAGATAGTTGTAAGTAATTTGAAGAATATGTTAGAAATATTTTGGTGTATTTAGGGCCATCGAATCCCAAGAACTTGAGTAGCTTTAGCATCAATTGGAGACATCCTTGATAACATATATATTATATGCGGATATAATTTATCTATACATAAGTACCAATTGGGTAGTTATAGGAATTCAATAGCGGAATTTATTTTATAGTTATCATATAGGTTTATCTTGTAATAGGTATATATATTGTATTCATCATATCCAATAATAATATTTAATTTAGAAAGTCCTCCCGGTGTATACTTTATATCCTAAAATATACAAATGAATAATTAATTGTTAATATTCTATAATAATATATGTTATGCAAGTTATACCTTACCTTAAAGACGTATATATACATAATGTTAATTACATCGCTAATAATAGTAGATTTCAAAAGTACAAGTAGAATATATGTTATAACCTATATATAACATAAACATAAAAATGAAATAACGAAAAAACATGAACATAATTGAATGCATAATAAGAAATATATATATATATATATAAATTGTAATTTAAAAACAATAACATTCCTTCATACGCATGTTTCTTTCGATGTATAGATGAACTGTATTTTCTTCTCCTTTCAATATTAACGTCAATCAATTCATACTTCTTGTTACTTTTCATATGCTAAAGGGTTATCACAAAAAGAAAAAAAAAATTCAAAGCTTTTGTGAGCAGCAGGGAAACCATAATCCCCTCTCTACCACCCTTTCCTTTCCAATTATTTGTATCTTTTTATAATTAATAATATTGATAAATCGTGGGAAAACATCTTTTTGAACGAGTGAATTAAGGGAATAATGTTGAAAATTTGTATAGGACCCACAATAATTAAACGATTATGATTACAATTTAGGGATTTAAATCTTTTAGATTTCCAAAAACAAATAAATATAATAAATATAAATACAATAAATAAGGGTAAAATCGATATTATAAAAAAATTCTACTCGCAGAAACCTAAAAATGTAAAATTGAAAAATTTTAAACATTTGTAAAAATAAGTTTCTAAATTCCCCAAGACATTAAGTCTTAATTGAATTAAATATTTTCTAAACTCAAGTTTCTTAAACCTATACTCTAAACATACCATTCCTAATTCCATACTAATCCAAACATACACCACAAACACAGTTTTCTTAACCTCGTATTACCTAAACGTCCCAACTTAAATTCTCGTGCTGCGTATGCTCAATTCATGCCCAAACATCTCCTTAAGATGATGTTAGGTACACATGTATACACATAATTTCATTCGATAAACATATGGATCTTTTTATTAACTGTGATTTATAATATGTCAATCTGAACATAGCTCATTAAGTTAAGATATCTATGTCTAACCAAAAGTTCGTGAGTTCGAATCCCCCTACCCCACATATGTTGTACTAAAAAAATGTGAACATGATGTGTGTTGGAAGCAATAAAATGACCTGCGTACCATGTGGTGAAAGAAGAATAGATTGTCTTGGCCTATTGACTAGAAGAAAACTCTCTGCCTAAATAATTGTTTGTAACCGTTTTGAACTATAACTTGAGGATGACCTGCGTACCATGTGGTGAAAGAAGAATAGATTATCCTGACCTATTGACTAGAAGAGAACTCTTTGTTTGTAACCGTTTTGAACTATAACTTGAGGATTCAATAATGGGAATAATTGACTAGCGAGTGGGACCCACTGACCTTCATCTGTAAGTACAGAGATTAATTTCCATACGCATGTATGTATTTTTTATTCCTCGTCTCAAGAGTGATAAGGACTATTACTGACTGGAGCATTGAAGTTTTTTTTTTCTTTGTGCAAGTTCTACACTTAGCTTAGTAAGTTCACACATGCTTTCAGGACGACCAGAATTCAGCATAAACTACGTGAAAAAGATATATAGTTTCTTGTATATTGTACGATTTTCTTTATTATCTTGGAAACTTTTTTCGTTGAAGGCTATAATTTTATAGTAAGAAGAATTTTGAATATACTAGCATGTCTATAGTTAATTACCTTTTCAAAGTTGTAAATTTGAATATCCACCTTTATATTTGTGATATAAAGAATATTGTGAATGAATTTATGATGAGTTATTGTCACGTGCTCTATATATATTATAATTAGATTATTCTTATTGTGAAATGTGGTAACCAGAATCTACGCACGAGTTGTCGTAGATAGGAGTATGCAACCAAACCGACAAACCCAAGCCAAATTGAGCCAATTTTGCAATTTAGTCGGTTTTCAATTCAGTTTTGGTTTATTTAAATTCTAAAACAAAATTATGTGGTTGGATTTTGATTTGAGATTCAAAAATCGAACCCCAAATCGGATCAAACCACATATGTGCATGTATATATCACTTGAAAAACTTTGATACCGAACCTATCAACTGATCGGTCTGTTGGTCGATTCGGCTTGGTTTAGGCCACAAATGCAGTTTGGACTTAATTTTAATTTTTTATTTTTCTTAATTTCAATTTTGGTTTTTATTGGACTCCAAAATCGAGTCAACTCGAACTGTGAAACTTCTCGACACATTTACATAATTGGATGAAGCTCTCAGAGCCTATGCTGAAAATATCCCATTTGTCCAATACTAGACAAAACTTTACATTTAGCCTATAAATTAAAAAGCAAAAAGACAAAAAAGAAGAAAATTGTAACATCATAACCTCAACTAACCTTTACTACTTGGACAAGTAATTGCCACGACCACAAACGTTTGATTACATCTACTTTGGATTAATTTCCATCATTCATTTCCAAATAATTCCCTCAGATAAGTAAAAGAAAAAAAAAAGGAATTTTCTTTTTCTGCACCACTTGAAATGGACATTTTTCTTGCAGTTCTGATCCTCACCTCTCTCTCCGTTTGCCTTTACCTTCGTTTGAAGAAATCCAAAGCCCACGAAGGTTTCAAAAACTTTCCCATTGTCGGAACCCTGCCGCTCTTCCTATGGAACCGCCACCGTTATCTGGATTGGACGGCGGAGGTGATCAGCAACTGCCGCACCAGCACGGCAGTGTTCCGGCGGCCGGGGAAGGTCCACGGAGTGATAACGGCGAACCCAGATGTGGTGGAGCACATGCTGAAGACCCACTTCGAGAACTACCCGAAAGGGGAACGCTTCGTTTCTCTTTTGGAGGATTTTCTCGGCGGCGGAATCTTCAACTCCGACGGCGAAATCTGGAGGGTCCAGAGGAAGACGGCCAGCTACGAATTCAACACCAGATCGCTGAGGAATTTTGTGATGGAAAATGTTGCGATGGAGATTGGGAGGAGGCTGATTCCTGTTTTCGAAAGGGCTTCGGAAACGGGGCGGGTCTTGGATTTGCAGGACGTTTTGGAGCGGTTTTCGTTTGATAATGTCTGCAAATTGGCTTTTGATTACGATCCGGGTTGTCTCGGCGGCGATGGCACCACCGGCGCTGAGTTCATGCGCGCTTTCGCCAACGCCGCCACGCTCAGCTACGGCAGGTACGTTTTTTACTGTTCTTTAATTATTGGGGCTTTTGTGATAGGGTAGATTTAATTGATCACTAAATTTATAAATATCATATTCATTATTGGCACGTCAGTCAGCATTATGTTAAGGTAAGTATTAGAATTTTAAATTTTTAGAACGTATTCATTATTGCCACGTCAGTATTGTGTTACCGTAAGTATTAGAATTTTAAATTTTTAGAACGGGTTCATTATTACCACTTCAATATTATGTTATGGTAAGTATTAGAATTTTAAATTTTTAGAACATATTCATTATTGCCACGTCAGTATTGTGTTACCGTAAGTATTAGAATTTTAAATTTTTAGAACGTGTTCATTATTACCACGTCAATATTATGTTATGGTAAGTATTAGAATTTTAAATTTTTAGAACATATTCATTATTGTCACGTCAGTATTGTGTTACCGTAAGTATTAGAATTTTAAATTTTTAGAACGTATTCATTATTGCCACGTCAGTATTGTGTTACCATAAGTATTAGAATTTTAAATTTTTAGAACGTGTTCATTATTACCATCTCAGTATTATGTTATTGCAAGTATTAGAATTTTTAATTTTTAGAACCGTTCCTAAAGTCAATCTACACATAGCAGACCCATATCTCCAATATTGAAAAAATAATTTGACTATTAGTTAAGTAATGTTGGGATGATTATCAATTATTGATTTTGCATTCTATTATAGGATCAAATTTTGTTATCACCACCCTTAAAAAAGGGAAATACTTTGCATGCAAAAAAAATGTATTTTTAAAAAATGATGATTGGTCAAATATTTTATAGTGGGGAGGACAAGATTTCTCGTAGCAAAGTATTTTTCTTTGAAAAATTGACAATTCATAATTTTTTAAAAGAAAAAATTTACGCTCCTTAATGATTGTACTCCTTACTCTCACGTGACCTTATAAAAACAAGACAAGTGTTGATTGTTGCTTTTTAATCTTATCAAAATCTCCCCAAATCTTGAATTCTTTTTTAGATTGGTTGGATGACTTTTCTCCCTTTTTCTCTCCGTACTACTTCTCACTCCCTTCTTTTTATCTCATCTCCTCCATTTTCTTCTCAACTTGAAGAGTATTGTAACCTTTTTTTTTTTTCTATTTTCTTCG